TGGAGAGGGAGAAGAAATTACGGAAGACCAGTCTGAGCGGATGAGAGGGCTGACGCCCGAGATGGACGAAGGTGAGGAAAGTGATGGTATGTTTCGAGGGTCGGAAGGCACCTCGGTCACAAAAAAGGAGTTGTTTAGGATCATTGAGGATCAGGATGAGGCGATCGAGGCGCTTCGACGAGAGGTTGATGCCTTGAAAAGAGGAGAAGGGATGACGTCCAGCCCAACCTCGAAGAAAAGGGAAAGGGTGGCGGAGACAGAAAGCGAGTCCGGGCATTTGAGGCGCCCAAGCCAATGACGCAAGCATGAACGCAGTGGTCCGGACGCCAATGGATGGAACGGGGAAATCCTGGGGCGCCTGTCACGCCACTGCTCCGTAAGGCAGCCCCTAGCGCGGAATATACTGATGGAGCCCGCGGGAACCAACATTCCCCCACTCCCAACTTATGACGGGACAGCGGACTCGGATGATCACTTGAATGGATAGTTCACCAAGATGCAACTTTACAACAACTCATACGCTACCCTGTGCAAAGTGTTCCCGTCGACTTTCGCGGGCGTGGTCCTTGACTGGTACCACAAAATCGAAGAGGGGCGCATTGACTGCTTTGAGCAGTTTGCGGCGATGTTTTTGGCAAAATTTGCCAGCAGGAAGCGCCGCTCTCTGACCATAGGCGCCCTCTTCAAGGTCAAGCAGAAGGAAGGGGAGGCGCTGAGAGAGTTTTATGAAAGGTGGCTCTCCGTAGCCTTGGCAGTAAAAGACGCCCAGCCGTCATTGTTGGGAGTGTGCTTGAACGAATGTACCACCGGCGAGGAGCTATGCAGGGCGCTCGCCAAGAGGGACGTGGTATCCACGGAGGACTTGGATCACTGAGTGCAGAAAGTTATCATGCTCGAAGAAACTTTGGCGGCCAGGAGGGCAGATAGGGCAAGACGAGGGGAGAGCAAGTTGAGATGATAAGGAGGCCACATCCCCGAATGGACCAGGATATGCGCCCGTGAACCACCCTCAGCCGAGAAGAGTGGACACTGGACGCCGACGCCCAGGGGGCGGGAGCCCCAATCGAGCATATCATATAGCTTCGACAATCGGACCAACACCTCACACCACACAAGCCTCTACACATCCACTGCCAAATAAGCGAAGGAAATAAAGTCCATCATGCCCCATTCCTAATCAATTTCTTGGATTGTAAAACCACTGCCAAATAAGCGAAGGAAATAAAGTCCATCATGCCCCATTCCTAATCAATTTCTTGGATTGTAAAACCTGAATAATGGAGAAACCACCAGGGAAGATCAATGCAACATGGTTATCCTTCGTTACACGGCTCATATAAACTAAATTTCTACAAAATTCAGGCACATGAAGAACACGTCCAAGAGTTAAGCCTAATTGAAGTGACACAGAGCCAATATGTTTAACATGTATACTCGCTCCAATCGGAAGAAATAACTCAAACCAAATCTCCAATCGAGGAAAGAGCCAAGCATACAAGGTTACTCTACAATTAGAGTGATGGGCTAGTTGATGATGTTGGGTTCCTCTAGCTACTTGATTCCATGAACAAACTAAGAACTAAGAAGGAAAATGGTTTCGAGATTGAACACTCAAACATATTAATTTCTTATTGAGAAAACTTGATGGAATCTAATCTACCCTTATATGAGTGTAAAATCCAAAACAGATAAGGAAAACTAAAGGAAGCTTATGAGCAAATGTGCAAAATATATATATATATTTTTTTTCTAGTTAACACAACTCGTGGATGAAGCAAGAGGAAATTGGCTTCCATAGGACCCAAGAAAAAAGGGATGGAAGTGGGCCTCTTATGAATTGTTGGCCGAATTGGATGCCTTAAGGTGGAAGACTGTGTTGGTCTCCTTAGAACTCATTTTGGTTCTCTTGGCTTGGACAAAATCCACTCCTTGTCGCGCAAACATATTGCACTTGCCAAAAAGCTAGCAATTGCGCATTCAACGTCTTAACTTGATTTCGAGTAACCATGGATAGCGCTTGAGCAATCTTTGTGTCGATATCCTCATCACAATCAATCTTAAATACGATATATTGATAGAACAGTGGGTGAGAGGGAAAACTTGATAGTTTCACGTAGTAGAAGAGCGTTGCCCATTAAAATTCATAGAGGGCCATCTTTGAGAACTTTCAAACATAGAATTGCAAATTTACTACACTTCCATTTAGATTTAGTCACAGTTACAGAAGCAGAAGCAGAGTTACCTTTGTCATAGACGGGCAACAAAACCAAGTCTGGCTGCCCTTCCCACATCCCCAAAGCCAGCTCCCTCAGACCATTTAACTACAGCTCTTTCTCCCATGATTGATTCCCAATCCATACACACAAGAGGTCCATGAAACTAACAGTAAGACAACTGCATCAACTACTGCAATTGCAGTCTTTTGATAATTTGATGGCAGCCACCTGCTTCTGCCCACCAAGTCCTAAAAAGGTTAGACAATCACAGCAGCAGTAGTAGCACATATATCGAGTTGGAGGCGGGCCCGGGGAGCACAATGCAAGATCAACTGGAACACTACTTATCTTTTCCAAATCCAAAGTACATACTTGCACAAAGGGAACTCAAGTAAGTTACATAAACAACTTGAAGCTTGATTGATAATCTCCTTGTTAACTGTTGTCGTAAAACAAACATCAGACTGCTAAAAGGAACGCTTTCCACTACAGAAGAACAGCTAGACTAAGACAAAGGGGGGAAAAACACAGAATCAATCTATAACTCACACTGCTATGATATGATGGCATCGTTACAATATTAGACGAGAATGAATTAAGCAAAATCTTCATGGTAAAGAATCAGTCGGGAGTCTAAACCCCAAATGTGAAAACCAGCAATAAGCACCCGCATACCTCCCAACCAAAATTTTGTTAATGAGCCAGGAGGACACCCCTACAGTGCACAGAATCAAGTAAAGATACAGCACAACGACAGCAACCATAACCCCGACAGGATAGCTCATAACAAAGCATACATAGCCACAGCTTGCTGCTATGCATTAAGCAAATTTCTCTAGAAGCTAAATCCAGTCAACAAATCAATTAGTTTACAACTGAGTGAGTTCTTGCGGGTTCTCCATAGACTGTCTGTATACGTACTCTGCCCTCCTCTTCTTGTCATCCCTCTCGTCCTCCCGCCCTAATGACTGCTCAGATCTCTGTTCGCCCTTCTTTGTAAGATGCACATCTAAGGGTTCAACTAACATTCTCTCCCTAGTTTTTAACCTAAATTTCACAGTATTCCTCTTCTCTGGAAGCAACGTCCTCTCCCCACCACCTTCACCATCCTCATTAACCCCTATTTCTTTAGCTGCCTCGATAGCTGGGGCAAATGGCACCAGCACAGAAGCATGCTTCTCTATATTTGGCACCGAAACCGAAGAAGTACCCTTCTCCCCTGGCTTCAAAGGTTGCCTGAGGAAAGGGTTTCCATCACCTGTACCCGTTTCCTTGACATATTCATTAGCCACCACACCAGATGATGAAGCACCTGCTGAGCCATTACTGACAAGCCTCTGCTGCAGACTCAACAAAGTCCGTTCTGCCTTCCTCCGTTGCCGAGCTTGCTCAATCTTCTCTGCTCGAGGATCTGAGACCCTCTCATCCCACATTGGTGTATGCACATATGTGTGCTGATCTGGCAATGCTGGCAACCAAGCTGGAATATGATTCCCGGGAGGAGTTTCGTTCATTTTCTCAAAACTAGGAATCAACTTGCCATCTCTAACAATGGGGAACTGTGGCACTGATTGTGCAAACGGGATCTCTTCTTCAGATTCCACAAAATCAACTATATCTCTAATAGTGCCAGAACTAACAAGACAACTGCTGGAATTATAAGCACCTGGAAATCCTTGAGAGGTGCCAATATCTTCAAAACCTCGAACAACATCGAAGATGCTACATTGTGTTCTGCCACATAGAGTGGCATTGGCACTTGCCGTCTTGCCCAGGTCACGGAGGTACCGGAGGGTGACGTCAGTTAGAGCATCCAAGGCCGACTCTTTCAACCCCTCAAAGCCAACATTTTCACAAACCTGAGCTACAGCCTTTCTCGCCACTGCATAGCCAAAATCGTCAGCTTTTGATCTTCCCGGTGTACTCTCTGCACCTCCATTGCTCATATTTGCACCTTCATATCAAAATTAGGGTTTCAAAATACCCCCAACCTGACGAGCTACACTCATCAAATCCATAACCCTAACCGAACTTGGATAAAAAATCTCGTCTGTCACGTCTTCCCAAAGCTTCGCAGGGAAGAGCACAGACGAAAAGAATGATTCTGAAGTTAAATCTCGTAGGCAAAAGAAACAGCAGAACACAGATCCAACCTCACCCTTTTCTCGGGAGAGAACAGAACCGTAAAGCCGTTGGAAAAGAATTTCAAGAGCAAATAAGGGTGCCCCGGAAAGAAACAAACGGAAGGGAAAGATTCCGACGAAGGAAAGAGCAAGAACGCCGTTCCAGGTAAAACCCTAGCCAGAAAGCGAAGCTCGGAGGGGTTTTCGCGAAACGGGGAACGCGCGGGACGGAAGAAAGTTGGGAATTTTGGAGGGAAATTGGTAAGGCCTCACTTTTCAAGCGGTTGGGATTGGATTTGGAAGCAAGAGAAGGGAAGGAGGATCGAGCGAGAAGGAAAAGAGAGAGAAAGAGGAGAGGGACGAAGAAAGGGCGTGATTCGACGCAGTCGATTGCCGGGCTGGCATGGCCGAGAGCGGCTCTGTTTTTTTTATAGACAGAAACTCTTGTCTTGGGAGAAGCGAATGACGACTTCATCCCTCACGCGCTCCAGAACGGTACACGCTCCCTCCCTCCGTCAGTCTCCAATTGGGCCTCAGGCTTTCTTAGATGGGCTTACAATGGGCTTCCCGGTAGACTAGACTGGGCCGATGAAATGCGACGGTTGGTCTTCTTTTCTCTTGCCGAGTGGATAAGGTTAGACGGACGGCAGACTGACTGGAGGGCGATTTTGATTTGCTTTTTGCTCTGGTTTCTTGTTCGGCTTGGCTGGCTGTTCGAAGAAGAAAGGAGGGAGAGGAAGGCGATAACAATGGAGAAGTACTTTGGAAATGCGTATCGGGGCGACCCCGGAGTGCCGCACGCGGACCCGGACAGGTTCTTCAACATATGGATTGGGTCGGCTGCTTTCTCTGCTCTCACCTGGGTCAATCCCTACATGTGGCATCTCACTAACCAGTTCAAGTACGCTTCTCTATCTCTCTCTTCGTTCGTCTACCATTTAATTGCAGTTTGAATGCACCAGAACGTTGAAATGAACAAACTTCTTAACTGGTTTTGTATACAATTCCCTTGTTGATTTGCTGGTTTTAGTGTTCTTGGATCGGATATTTGGGCGACTTGTCTTTGTGGTTGCACAGCTTGCACCAGTAGCCAAATAGGGTCTTTGAATCCCGCTGTCTTCTCTTGTAGCTTCTCCCTAGAATGTCATTGACTGCTTGGGCGTGCTTTAGTAGATATTGGTGCTGTATGTGGCAGGACTTCTGCTTCTCTTCTAGCTTCCCATTGCCTGTTTGGACGTGATTGAGTAGATATTGATGCTGTATGTGGCAGGACGTCTGCTTCTGCTATGATAGATTGTTGTGCTAAGATGTGCGAGATAGGGCTTTGTTTCAATCAATCTGTTAACTAAATGCGGGGCTAAATTTCTTTTGCCGGAAATGCCATTTCTGAAAAGGATGAGCTTCCACAAAAGCTTTTTATTTTTCCCCATTTCATGTCTGTCAACTTTAGGTTTCTTCGTTATTTTATATCAGCTTTTGATTTGGTTAGGACCTATGTTGATTTCGAAACGGTCATGTTAAGTATTAGATGTTGAGGCATCGCTTGATGTTGGAAGGTTAGTGTGTGTGATACACTAAGGGAGGGACTGAAATGTTGAAACGAGTTTCAGTTTTGATGCACACAACATGTAAATGATCAAAGTTCACGGGTTTTTTTTTCCTTGCTTGCAATACGTGTCTTGCAATTTTTTCCTGCTTGTTGTTGGATTTGGTATTTGGGGAGACTTCCTGTTTCTATGTTCGTTCTTAGCTAGTAGCTAAATGATGCTTGAGATCCCATTATGATCTCACTTGGTTTGGAAATGTCTCTTCATCTTTCTAATCTTGATCTGTATGAGGGTTTACAGTAGATATTGATGCTATAAGGGTTAGGATATCTGCTTCTGCTATGTTAGATTGCTCTCTTTTCAGTTTCTTGCAGTCCTAAGACCTATGACATACGGCTATTGTTTCACCAGTCAGTTTATTCAAGGTTTTCTTTTCCCTCCGAGGTGGGTTTAGATAGGGAGCTCATGTCTATGCACTTGGATAATGCTTTCACCAGTTTATTCAACCTTTTCTTTTCCCTCCTAGTTGGGTTTGGTTTGGGTGCTGATGTATATGCACGGGGCTGATGTTGTTGGATAGTGATCCCAGCCATTAATATGTAACTGCCTGTGTTGGATGACACTGAACACACCCCATTCAGCCCCACAGAAAAATTCAACTGCGTCCACTTCCAAAGGGGATGAACTTCTATTGCAGCATAAGTGGCTGCCGTGTTCATGATTATGTGTTGTATACAATTGAAGTAGCAACAAGCCTTGTTTATCTCCCCATATGCATCGGTCAGTCACTTTGCATATTGCTTTTTCTGTCATGCAGTTGGCACGACAAGGCATTCTTATTTGAGCAGTATCACTGGAAGAAAGCTAGGGCCAAGAATCAGCCCTACAAATTTAAGGTACATCGTCAAACTGCTTCCAAGAACTTGTACAGTTTGCTGTATTATCTCCGTCCAACTTTGTAGTAGGATCATTGTTTCATGTGGAATAACACGTGTTTTTTTGTGCAGTGGAACGAGTACATGGACAAGGACCACCGAGATTCGTATTATTACAACTGGCCGTACTACTTCCCTTAGGCTCTGCCTCTCTTGTTTCGATCATTGTGGCGAATGGACAATTGGGGTTGTAGCTAGTAGATGCAGCCTTCGTTTTGCGATGCTTGTCATTGTGAATTTGAACACCTTGAATATAGTAGCTTCCTAGCTGGAGCTTTACTCTTTCGTCCATTGTTCATCGCTCATCATAAACTTGCTCTACTCCCTTCAATCCCGATCGTCAATTGCTTTATATTATCTACTAGATGAGCTTCATGTTTATGTGGGAAGATTCAGTACACAATTTCAATTTGTCTGTCTAATGTGTGTGGAACTTGATAATAAAACCAATGACGGCGGTTCAGGGATGACTGCTAAGTACTACCCGTGTTCTTTCCAGGAAGGCATAATGTGTTCGATGTTCGTTCGTAAATGAACTTGTTAATCTGGATAGTCCAGTAGTCACTTGTTCATATTGCTTCGAGCAATAGTTTCTCAAAGGTGAGCTCGTAAGTTTAGCTTGCACCTTGCGATCTAATACGAGAAAAGAAATGTGTGCCCGAGTGAGTTGGTGAAAACAGATGTAAGCTGTAGTTGTTGAGAGACTTTCTCAAGTTCAGGAACTGAGCAGCGGAGACGCGTGTAGTGAGTCACGCTACGTGAAATGAAAAGCTGTACGCGCCAAAAGTTGGATGACGGTCTTATCCTGAACCATAAATAGGCCGGTTTTCAGTTTCACGACTGGTTGTCCGGAGTTCAGGTCACGGAGGGAGTTTCCTGGTAAAGCAATGGCATTTCTCCATCTTTCTGCGTTTAGAGCTTCCTCGCGCGCAGCGATTCCGCTGCCCACTACTGCTTCTTCACGTCCGTCGTTGCCCGCCGTCCAAATCCGTGCTTTGAACAGATTCGACAACTGGGTCGATGATTTTAGGTCCAAGTCGTTGAGTTTGGTGCTTTCGGGAGCTCTCACTCTCGGCCTCTCTCTTTCAGGCCAGTTTTGCTTCATCCTCCTGCCTCAGCGGTTCCTCTTTCTTGTTGCGACGAAGGTTTAGAGAGAAAAAGGAAACTAGTGTTTTACTTCCTCTGGAGCCGAATTTTGCAGGGGTGGGTATTGCGGAAGCAAAAGTAGGAGTTAACAAGCCTGAATTGCTTCCCAAGGAGTTCACTACTGTCATAGATGTCGCTGGATTCCTTTCCGATGGCCAGGTACTTCTGCTGTATTTTCCTCATGCAATGCACTCGAACTGTTTGTTTGATTGCCCAACTGAGCTTGCATGCTTTTCTGTTTGAATTCAAGTTACCATAAAAAAAAACATCTTTGAATTTAAGATGTGTTATCATCTGAAACTGAGGACGTTGAATATCATTTCCTGAACCTTTGTTTGCCGCCCATGCTTCGATTCTAGCTTTTCGCTACCTTCAATTGAGAGGAATGACATGTTCATTTGTGGTAATGACTGGCGTCACATTCATGTGAGTCCTGATTTGTTGAGCAGATAGCGTCCTATGCTGAAATGGGTTCCTTGGTTACACTGTCAGCCTCATTTCCTAATCTTCTTCCCTTACTCACTTACGGATTTGAAAGCCTTAAATTGTGAGGAAACAGACGTTTGTTTGCTGTTAGGGGTATTGATACATTCATGCCTGAGTTTAGGCACCAACCCTTGCGCAATATGTAGACTGATAAAAATTTGCTGAATAATGGCCAGTTCTTATATGGTTTTTAGGAGAGAAGACTTACTCAGGAGATTGCTGAGATTGAAAAGGAGACTGGATTCAAGTTGAGAGTTCTAGCTCAAAATTATCCAGACACTCCAGGTGTTCTCTTCTGCTCATTAACTTCTTGTCAAAGTGCTTCGACAGTTTTCTTGCTTGGGCTTTCTGTTTCTTTCTTTTATGTGCTCTTTTCGCTCGCAGGGCTGGCGATCAGAGATTTCTGGCAGGTGGATGATAGGACTGTCGTGTTCGTTGCTGATCCAACGTTTGGTGTGATGACTCTTTGCAACTTTTTGCAATAACTGTATAACTTTATACGTGGACTTGAACAATGCTAACTCCATTTCCTTGACCAGGAAATATTCTCAATTTTAACGTTGGTGCTTCTGTTGATCTGGACATCCCACGGAGCTTCTGGAGCCGGCTGGCCGGGAAATATGGCAATATTTTTTACTGGAAAGAGAAGGTTAAGTTATAAGGAAGAACGAAAAAGGATGCTGATGATACCAAAACCTTTTTTGTGTTACAATTTCAATTTCTAGATGAGATTAACTGATCTGCATTCTATCGTACATGCAGGGCGAAGATGCATCTATTGAAGCTGCTGTGATGGCAATATCCAGTTGCTTGAGAGAGCCTGTAGGCGCAAACAACTGCTCTGAAGTCAAATAAGATGATACTCACTTGATAAAAACGGCAGGATAGATGTCAGGAGAAAGGGCGCAGGTTATTATAAATTTAGATCTTCCTTCGTCTCCTGATTTTGTGTGTTTGTAATATGGAGGATAATGCAATGATAACTGAAATTGCTGGTCCTGCTTCAGCTATATTCATTGTTGCTATTTATGGGCTCAAAACTATTAATGCTGTGGTACTGTGCAAAACCAAAGCTGCTTGTGGCTGAGTCTCTGCAAAAGAGCTGGAAATGCGCAACTGAAATGTTATTATATTTTCACTACTTCGAACATGATTGCCTGAACATTTGACTGTAAATGAAGTTCTACAAGTCATCCAAGCATTATAACCAAATGGAAACTAGTTAGAATGGTTAGTATCTCTCAGCAACAAGAAACCAAATTGTCTGGGATAAACTGCTGTTCAGACAAGAAAGCTGGCAAATCTTCTCATACAATGCAGTAATATATATATATATATATATCTTTATTATTATTACTTATATCTTCTACCATTCTGTACTTGCTCTTCTCACTTTCCCTCCATGTAGAACCCTCTGAAGCTCCTCAGGATGACAAGGCACTGCAAGAACACCTTCCTGGCCGAAACCAAATTCATCCTCAGCCTGTTCCAGCAATTCAAGAAACTCTGGATCATTCAAGTCATCCAACTCCACAACAAACCTAGTTGTTTTCCCACCTTTGGTTGCAGTCACGGCAAACTGCCCTTTCTTCACATCGTTGGGAGGCAATTTCCCAGCATCTTTGTCTTCTTCGTCGAGCTCAGGAATGCTTTTCAGCCTCTGCCCTCTTCTGGATCCCATCACCAAGAGACCCCTTTGCAGTTTTCTTGTGAAAAGCTTGAGCATCATCAAGCTTCGGAGGCTTTCATCCTTGTTAAACATGGCGGTTAAGATTCAATGTCTGTGAATCCAAAGGTACGCGATCCTAATTTGGGTTTCTTTGCTTTCTCTGTATTTGCTGAGATGAGATTTGGGAGAGGGTGATGGGGAAGTATATACTGGAAGCCGGTCCTGAGGTTGGGTGACATGGATGAAACTTCTGAAGAACACATGGGACCATATTGATTTAGATGCAACATTGGTGACATTTAATGTCATAAATTGATAGCTCAATCCCACAGGCCATTTTCTGTGGGACTTGACACAGTGGGGTTCTCTGAAAGACACGTTTTACGGTGGACAGAGATTATGTTGCTTCAATTGTGTGGTTTTTTCATCATCCATGGGTTGGGTAGTGGTTTCTTGTTAGTTATCAACCAAGAATCCGACTTCCCTATCTGGTAAAAGTAAAGTATGTCATTCATCCATGCATTCGTTCATTCACCATGGCTTGAGAAGAGTAACCTGACTCAAAGCTGCATTTATTAACCCAGTTGAACTGAGGATTTAGCCTATAGGTGACTTGACTCTTTCTTTGGCTGCTAGGCGAACCTAATAATCATGGCAGGCCCTGCAGAAACTGCCATGAAGATATTTCCTCTGCTACTTGGTTCATTTGTTGCCTTGATATGTCAATTCTAAACAGAACATGGCCGACTTTCTCTTTAATCGAGTAGTAGAAGCAGAACACGGTTTGCCTCTTGCCAGGAAAAAACCAACCTTCATCTTCTCCATCCACTCGTTTCTTTCTTTCCATCGCATGGCCTGATGAGATACTTTTGCTAGGATATTTTTCTGACCTTTCTTTTTCTTCCTTGTCGTTGAGAGTGTTGCAGGTTACAATGTATGCTGCACTTTGGTACGCATTCTGGTACTCTGAGTACGGTGAAGCAATGAACTATTACAAAAGGAGATGTGTACAAATTGGGACACGGTTGGAACCTTGTAAGGGGAAGCATATGGGTAAAGCGGATTGAAGCTGGTACATAACCATCGCGGGGAGCGGATTAAACCTTTTTTTTTACTATTGCTTAATAGTGTGTTATAAAATGATAATTATAAAATAGGACTTTACTACGCTGTCTCGTAAATTGGAGAAAACGGTCTATGTTTTACACTAAAAGGTCTATCACTTTTGAAAAAATTGGTCTGTTACTTTCACCAAGTGGTCTACCTATTCCATCAAGCGATTCCAACAATCGGTCGACCTGATGAATTGCTAACGACATCATCATATATAATTAGAGTAGTCCAATATTAATAGATATGTTTGTTGGTAAGAGAGTTAAAATTAGTACAAAAGTTTGCGTATAGATGAGAAGTTTTTTGGTGATTGTTCTCTCGTAGATTTTTTAAATGTTGTGCATATTTATTTCTTAGATTGGACTTATTTTTATAAAGACTCATCTTTCTTTCAAATTCTAAGTTTGCTTGTTTTAATCCTAAGTTGTCTTGTGATAGATAAATATTGTTTCTATTATTGTTTTGAATATACTTAAAACCTAAAGTATACTTGTTATACAATTGTGTCATATTCAACGTGCATAAATCTCATATCATCTTACTTTTATGGGTTTTTATTCCATAAGTGTAAAAAGAGGGTGTTATTTCTTTTTCTCTAAGCCTATAATATGGGTAGAGATTTGGTTGCACACGGGTGATAGGATGTTGTATTACTAAAAGACAATTTCCTATTGTAGGCCTTCTATAGTCCATTATTATCGCAATGTAAATAGAAGGTAACAGTGTCATCTGGTCGGCCGTTTGCCAGAAGCATTAGATCGTTCTCTCGAAGCAGTAGACCATTTGGCGAAAGCGGTCTGCCGCTTCCTACAAGTGAGTGTATGTTGAAAGTCAGCGTGTTATTAGGTCGACCACTTGCCGAAAGCGGTAAACCGTTGCCTGAGACCATTTGATGTAAGCGGTAGACCATTTTCTTGAAAAGTGATCGACCTTTTTGTCGAAGAGGTAGACCATTTTGTTGAGAAGTGGTCAATCGCTTTGTGGAAGAGGTAGACTGTTTTCTCCAAGTCATGATAGGCATTCCCTAAAAAATAATATGTAACTTTTTTTTACAAATGTATGCAACACATTTCAGCCTTCATTCAATACAATAAGCGTTTGAAAATATCTTGAAGATCATTCAAAATTCAATGATGGAGTGTAGGATAGGAAATCAAAATAGCATGAAAACCAAATGATAACGAACAACCTCGATTAATGACTCATTCCTAACTACACAATTAAATCTCGAATAAAGCCCAAGTGCAAACTCTAGAAGGGTGTAGTATAGAGCAAGTATTTTAATTGTAAACCCAAGTAGTCCATGTACTCCTACTTCAGTCGCTTAAATTGCTATCTAGCTAACGGTTTGGGGCTAAAAGCTAAAGAACTACAATTGTAAATAAGCAAAGAAAGTAAATTGAGTTGGTTTCAATAAGAGAAGACTTCACCCGGATAATGCTCTCCCTAGCCTTGTATCAAGATTGACTGAATGGAATGCTAGTGTGTGAAAGTGTGGTCATATATCGTGAGGAGGTTGCAACTAGTGGAGAAACTCGACTCTCTTAGACGATTAGCATTGGAATACCGAATTAAGCTAGGAAACTAGCTCTCTTGACTAATCGACTAAAGGTTGCTAAGACTACTCCCTCATAACCTAACCCGGATGGCAACATAACAATCAATCATGGTAGGTTCATGGCACTAAATCGATGTTTGAGGCTTGCCCTCAATTTTCCTAGGTGGGTGACCCAAGTGGTCAAGAAATCTAGCTCCTTAGAGCCTCAAAAAGGGGATTTCCTCCACCTAGGTCAATTTGACCTAATTATGATATATGAAGAACAATACTCAAGAATTCTGAAAATACCTCAAATATTGCATTATACTCAAACCCACCCACATAACATTCAATCCATACAACCTATCACATATCAAATGTTAGGGTTAACAATATCCAAGTGAGAAGGAGAACTACACCATAGCTAGGCTAGGGATCACAACAAAGAGGAGAAAAAGAACCATGGTGTGATGCTTGTCTTTCTTCCATGTTGCTGAAAACGCCCTTGAGAGATGGAAATCTTCACTCCTCTAGCTAAGAGCAAACCGTAAACCTCTTCTTCTTCCTTTGTTCTTTAGTTTCTCTCTCTAATTTCTGGAAAAGAAGACCACTCTCTCACTAGGATTCCCCTTCTCAAGTTTTAGATTCTCCTCCTATTATACTCCCGTTAGGCAGATGTCACGGACGTGATCTTGGAAGCCTGCCCTTTATCTCGGGCAAACACGCACCGTTCCACTTAACATCTTCACGGCCGGGGCGGAATTGTCACGATAGACTAACCATGACAATTGAATTGTCCCCGAGGCGTGAAAATGCTCCTGAAAGTCGTTGATCTTCACGGTCAAAGTGAATCTTCACGGTCAAAGTGAATCTTCACGGTCTCCCGCACGTGATAATCTGTTCTTGGCCGTGACTTTTTCCTTCCTGTCCATTTCGATCCGTTTTTGCCCTCTTTTGTTCGACTTTCGCTCCCGAGGTCAATTACACCTGCTAAAACATGCACAAACCTCGGGTAAAATCAAACCTCGGGTGATACAAATGCCTCAAACGTCACAAGAATATGGGTTGAAAACATGTGTAGTTAAGGTCGAATCAATTTACTAGGAAATTGGCACACTTATTACTCTCTCGATAAATATAAGAAATAGTCACTTCCTAGTTATGAGTGACCAATTCTCTAACCTCTAGATAATATTTGGATGCTAGTGGTCCGTCATTTCCTTACTCGTGAGGAGTTTAGTTGCACACATTAAGTCTAGCTCGACTCTGACATGACGAAGACCCATGTCTCATGCCAATTGAAGGTCTACAATAGTGTCTCTCGATTCTACCTGTGTAATAGAAAACATTCTCAGGTTTAAAGCATACGTTGCGATACAACGTCGTGTATGATCTCGGATCAAGTCAGCTGCAATTGCGTGGGCTGAATTAGCAAAGACTAAGCCATATGAAATGAGAGTAACTCACTCTGGAGGTGGTGGCTTCCAAAAATCACAACCTTCATTCTTGTGGCCTGTGGGTATAATAGAAATATTTATTAATTTGTTTTTTTTTTCATATCATTCCACATGATATGAACATCATGTTAGGACATGTTGAAAGAAGCCTTATTCAAGATGATCCTGCCTGCGAAGGCCTGATCATTTTTGTCCATCCAAATGGACAAGTAGGTAATGCCAAACTGTAGAGTGTTGTCGAATGATAAATCGATATTTGCACATGTTGTTGCCCACCATTCTTACACTGTTTGAGGTTCGATTCTCGTGTTTTAAGCAGATTTCACGCTAGGTTGCTCTTTTATGGCATATTTCAGGTCTTGGATCGGCTGTGCATGCTTGGAGGCGAGTTTCGGGTCAAAATCACCAAGTGGACGAAAGGAGGAGCTCGAGGACTGAATTCTCCCGCCGGGGAATCACAATAGGAGACCGGGGAAGTTGCCCATGGTTTTCCCCCGGTCATGACCCCTTAATCCCCGAACGGGGAATCATACTTGCGACCAGTGAATTTGGCTTCACCACTTACCTGTTGCACGCCGTTTTGAAGAAACCTGACATGTCATCAAATTACCCAACCGGGTAATCAGGTTGGGGATTTGATACTCGGGTTATTTAGTGCCAACCGCGGGTTTTGACATGGCATTCAAACTTTGGAGCTAAAAATAGAGGTTTAGATAGAGAAAGTGACGAAGAGAGATCCTTGAGTGCCCTAGATCGAGTCCCACACCATTGGAGCTCGATTCAATCCGCGAGGAGCGACGATTGACAACCTGGTGCCGATTTCTTCCATCTACACAATGATTTCCACATCAGGCATAGCTTTCCACTCTCTCTTTATGGAGTAATCCCCTCTATCACTTGGGTATGTAAGAACCCTAAATTGTATGTTAAGATGAGTTGTATAAACCATTTGCCATGATTGATTGATTGATTGATTTATATCTAGTTAATTGATCAAATTCTAGTGATTCACGCTTTGACCTAGAAAGATAATCTCTGCATAGGACAATAGAGCATCTTGAATTGTAAGTAGTGAATCGACGACTTTAGTCGAGAAGTCTATTCACTGCTCTGCACTGGTTTAGAACCCAACATAGGAAGTTTGAATCTTATTGCCTCGGTTAGCTTACGCCGGTAGAGGTTAGCTATACTACGCATTAGTTTGTGGTTACACTTGGTCACTTTCTAGTGTGACGGTATTGGCAAGCCATCTCATATGTTGAAGAACTCAGTCTTGAAGTTAATGTTCGAAGAAATGTTGGTGGTCAAAAGGGTGGATGAGATATAACCAAGCTAACCTGGAAAAGTGACAGTCGTGCAACTCATGCAGGACCTTCCTAGGTGTCGTATGTTGTAGGTGCATGTGGGCAACCTGGCAAAGGATCTTCTGCTTTACTTGCTATTGGCGAGTATACACCCCTTTCAGCCAATCCTAGAAAGTGGGTCCCTTCCATTTCCTAATTGTCCTCAAGTCTACCTCGCACTCGTCTTCTGCATTGTCGATCACTTAGTCATAAGAAAACTTAATGTGAAATCGTCATCCATTTCTGGTCCTCAGATAACAACATCATCCCCGAGTTCGCCTTGGGTGGATGTATGTCCAGTACCTGCAACACATAATATTACGAGATGCTGACTTTGCATCATGCCACTATGTAAGCATTTCAGTATTAATCCCTTCACATTTCAGTACGAGTAATTAACGTTTGACTATTAGCCTGGAATGTTTGAGTATTATTCTGCTACGTTTGAGTATTAGTCTGCAATGTTTGAGTATTAGTCTACAACATTTGAGTATTATTTCTTCCTTTCCTTTCATGGTACAACTGTTATTTCCAACGTTTTTTTGGCAAACATTACATGGTGTATGCTATAGACATGAAGAAGAAGCAAACAATCATGTTGGACAACATCAAACCTAATGAGAACTATGCAAAGGTTTACCATGCACTAGATGGACAACAAATTTTCAAATATGTTGGTGTTTTCCTAGCGAAAAAAGGCATCAATGTCAGCTTCGATGATTGGGTCTTCAGCATTGCAGATTGTTCCACAACAAATTGGCCATGATGATTGCAGGATTTTAGTCTGCCAATTCTTGTCAAAATTGCAAGGTCACTTGGATGTTGTGATCGTGCTCCGGTGTGCGATCGAGCTTTAAATTTATAAATTCGAAGCACACTCTCTAATCAATCCTAACTAAGCCAAGTATAACCTAGCTAGGGTTGTAGTAAAGTTGCTCGGTCGTATTCCAAGTGATCCTTAAGTGTATTATTACTTCGCTCCGAACTACTATCTAATCGGGATGGAAGTTTGGTGAGGGGTTTTAGCTAAATTAACCTACTCCTAAGGCAAAATAAACAACTAACCAAGTGGTTGGGAGAACTTTAGAGATGAGATGGTTGCCTAGGGTCGAATCCTCCTAGCTAAGGTTGTAAAGTAGGGTTAATCGAATGTGGTGAGTGAGCTCTTTTCCGTGGGCTTTTGTGATTATCCACACGCCTCCGAGTACGCCTCCCCTAAATCCATGTTTCAGTCACCTCGATCTAGGCTATCGTATATGGGGCATTAAGCTTATGGCTCATTTCAATAGACACTATCCACCGTCCACATCGAGGTTTCATCCCGAGTTTCATCTATATATTTGTATTTGTAGAGTGGAGACCATCATATATGAACGCCAAATTTAGATAACTCATACAATATATTAAATGAAAACTTGAAAGGAAGATCTATTTCAACCTATGACAATTGCTAAGAGACTAATTCAATTCACACAATCACAATAATTAATTAACTGCATACTATTGACATATATATATTTTTGTTAGGTGAATACTTCTATTAACTGTAATATAATTGCACTATTTGCATGTATTTTTGTAAGGGTTAATCATAACCATGTGTTCATTATAATATTTTACTCATCATATAAATTGTGAATTGATGCATTAACTGAATATGCCACTTAATGATAATGTGATGCTATATTTGTTATTTTGGTTAACCAATTAACCAAATCGATTAATCTTTAATTTGGTTAATTTGGTTGTTGTGTTAGTTTGGACGGTTTGGTTATAATATTATATTCCATGATTAATAGAATTTTGTTTTGTTTGGTAATTACTATGGTAACCATTTGAACACCTTATTGTTGTACGGATAACTGGTTCTGGACCTGCTATGAAAACCATCTAGCTTGTATTAGGGGTAAATATTTTTTTTTATTTAGATAAGGGTGATATATGTTACTTTTTTTTTTTTGTTATTAGGTACTACTGAAGGGACTCGAACCTGAGACCTCCAGGTTCATGGCTAGTGGTATTACCACTAGACCAATCCCTTGTTCGTAGGGGTAAATATTCAGGCATGAAGGTGTACAATCTACTCATCATGTATGAAGTAACAAAACATTCTACACATTAGAAGAAGATACAAGCAGAAGCATAGAATCATAAGTTTCCCCACCGAAATTTCTTTCTCAGATGGGTAGCTCCCACAAGAAATTTCACTCGGGCGTTTTTTACCCACTCGGATGTTTTTAACCCGTTTGGGAGACATATGTACATAACCAGTGGCAAGCATCTCAGAATTACTAACACTATGTTCATAAAGGACAAAAAAAAGGGGAAGGAAATGTAGGGAGGAAAGCTCATCTCCCTAGACACTTTCCACCGTTTTTTTAGAACAAGAACAGTGACCGCGAAAAGGAAAAAGAAGGAAAAGTCACTATTTAGGCCCATCCTCCAAATTGGAGGGAAAATGACCATTCTCCTCTACTCTTCCATTTTTCCTACGTAATTTCATTTGCTTTGCTTTATTTTTCTTACTTTCTTTTTCAGGCAAGTTGCCGTCATTTATTCTCTATAATTAACAATTTTGTTAATTTCTTTCTTTTTTTAGATAAATTTTCGTCCTTATTTTCTCCTTCTTTCATAGATTGAACTAGTTTAATCGTAAATGTAGTCAATACTCTTTTTTTATCACCCACGTAATAGTTTATGAGAAGAGTTCTTAACAAAAAAAAGAGAGTAGTTAGTTATTACTTTTTTTTACTAGTGATGATTATGCTATGTTATTCAATCGTACTATTAGACATACCATTAGTTTATAAACAAATCGATTTTTTTATGTATCTTATAGGTTAGTTTAATATTAGCCATTGTCAACATCAATGAGATTATTTACTCTTACATAATCAATAAAATAACATAGCTAATACATTTTCCAATATATTTTTTCCCTTCACTTTCCTCCATAAAACAACATTTTCCTTCCCTTTCAACTTTTCCTTTCCCTCATTTTCCCTTCCCTCCAAATTTTCCTTTCTCTCCATTTTCCTCCCTTTCTTTGGAAACACAGTGTAAGAAAGCCCTGGAGAAGCAAGCAAGCAACTCCAGAGAAAAATCTCGAAACAAACAAACACAAGAGCTTTGGCAAATTGCTACACATGGCATCCAAATATTTACCCCCTGTTTTTTTACGGAGGAAAAGGGGGTGAAGGAAAGTGTTTGAAGGGAAATTAAATTCCCAATGCACTTTCCCTTGTTTCTGAAAGAAGAGGGGAAGGGAAAAGAAAAGAAAATTTACTGTACCATCAATCCCTCCAAATTGGAGGGAAAGAAGAGAGAAGAAGAAAAAGTTTGTCCTTTTTATTTTTCTTTTTTGTTATCTCTCTCCTGCATCATCTCTCTCCTCCACCATCTTCACAATTCACAACCCATAAAAATAATATAAAAATATAATCAAATTATTTAATTCTTACATACCCAATAAAATAATATATCCATTACAATTTCCAATACACATTTTCCTTCCCACTTTCCTCCATAAAACATCATTTTCTTTCCAATTTCCTTAACCTCCTAATCATCCCTCCCCTCCTAATTCCCTTCCCCTCCCCTCCATTTTCCTCCCTTCCTTCGGAAACAGAGGGTTAAGAAAGAGTACCCAGCATCACTACCATCTTACTTTCTCCAGTTCCCAAGAATCTTTTGGAGCTCAACAGACCTGCAAGGAACAGCAAGCACTCCAGCTTGTCGAAGCCCAAATTCTTCTGCAGCCAGCTCAAGTAACTTCACAAAGCCTGGGTGGTCCAAGTAATCAAGCCTGATAATGAACCTCTTAGGTTCACCATCATTTACAGTATACACAACAAAATGTCCCTCTCTCACATCTTCCGGAAGCGCCTCAGGTAATCGACTGAGATCAACTTTCTCCTCCCGTGCACCAGTGGAGGAAAGAACAGAGTGATTGGACCTTTGCCTAAACCTCTGATAAAGGACCTTCATAACCTGCCTCAAAATCAGTGAGCCAATTCTCATTCTAGGCATTATCCCCAAACAAAAAACTTGTGTGTGAGATGAGAACTATGAAAGGATGCCTCTCACTGATAACTCATAAAGGACGACATTTATGCACAACCCTGATGAACACCTGTAGAACAAAAGGGAATTACCTAACTGAAGAAACAAGTTGTACAATTGCATGTGATATTGTGAAGGAATCATATGGTAACATTAAAGATCTGTTCGATGACTTTCCTTGTCTAGCTTTCATTTGGAAGCCATTGAGACTTGGGCCACCACCTTTAAAAGCCAGTTGAGGAATCAAATGGCATATTCACATGCATTTCAGCCAACTAACCAACAAAATGTTATCCTCAATACCACCTCAACATCAGAAGCACCTTACAAAGGTATGAGAAAAATGGTATATTACACCAAAGGCTGAGTTAGGTTCTGATTATTGAGGACACAAACACGAAGGCCTTTTTTATCCTATTCACACGCCTCTCTACATTTGGGCAAAGAAGACATTCGAGCAAGTCAGTGAACTCCATAACCATGTGAGATCATATCAACAGCTTCCAAAACAATAAAGTGAAGGTCTTCTTTGCAAGAGGTATATTGGGAGCTGAGTCCAGGATAGCAAACCTCAAAGATGGATGTCAGAAGGATGCCTCTACATAGACTATTCCTTCAACAAGTGAAATTAGTATATGATGTAATTATGTCCACAAGCCTTTCTGTATCTCCATTATGCTTCAAAGAAAACGTTCAATTGCGGGTTAAAAGAGTTACCAAAGTTAATCTGACTGTTCATAGTTAAACCTGACCAGAACAAGCATTCCAAATATTTATTAATAGATAATGAAGCCCATTGGTTCTCCCTTGGGCAATCATAACAAAGCACTGTGCTTCCTACGATTAAATCAGAAAACAGTTATATCAGTCTTAATGATAGTTTGAATGTGAATCTCCTTTAACAGCTACAATGATGGCATACCAAGCATATATATAATTAGACAACACAATGCAGTAAGGGGGGTGCAAAGGGGGGCTGTCATTTCATCAGAGAGGGGGAAAAAACCTTCATGCCTTCCGACTAAAAATAAACATAAAACATAGTTTGCTATGTCCTGGCTGCTATCTATAACCTAAGCACAGACCAGTTTATTGTCGTCTACTGCCCAATACTTGGTTTACCACCCTACTGACATAAATCTAACACGCAATTACCTCAGTAAGTAATTAGCAGTCAAGCGAATTTTCGACGTAATCTTCTCTAGTTATAGTAGAATATAAAAGATTCGAAGAGGTACCTAAGGATAGGGTGGAGCATTCCTTTCCAAGTCGATGCTCTTTGTGCTTCGAAGAAGAGGAATCCGTCCCAGCTTTCTTGGAAGGATCTTGTGCCCACTCCTGCAATCATCTCCTTACAAAATGTACTGTCCCATTTTGTGTCACGGAGTTTATGTCCAACTGATAATTGATTACACTTAAATACCTATGCGCTCCATTCGAGAAAGTTCTTCCTCGTGCACTTTGCTGGATCATGTCCTGTCGCTTGAGTGAAATGTTGAGACTTTTCAGCAAAGTAGAATCCTCTCTTCCTGAATTATCAGTAATGGCGTGGCTACTCTAGCCAGGTTGTATTTGGAGCCCTTTCGCTCGCATATGGCTGCAATATACACCTTGTATAGTTTCTGTTCAGAAACTTATACATACCAAACAAGCAAACTTGAGGTAAACAGTATTATGCTATCAACGTAAAGGCAACAACAAGTGCTAACGCTGCCTCACTGCAGATCAAATGATTATCACCGCTCCTTTGAACTTGGAAGGAAGCTACTCTGAAAGCAAATAAAAACAGCACAAACTAGGCAGATATAGATTCTCAAGAACCTAACCAAGTGCCAAATGACTGCATTGAGTTCCACAGCTTCATAATCGATCAAAATTACATTGCGGGTCTCAACTTTCGGCACTCATTATTATTCATTCGTAGGCCAAACGTACAAAAAGGGAGAGAAAAAAAAAGTACAAACCCCGAAAATCAAACCGTTGGTTTGCGCTCAAACCCGGAGCCAGGATCGTCATCGCAGGGGAAAACCTCAAGCCCAGTGACGACAGCAGATGGAGGGCCACGGCGGCACCTCTGCGACATCTCGTCAACCTTAGCCGGGTCCCCGGAGAAGAGAGCCTCGACGGCGCCGTCTCTGCGATTCCTCACCCAGCCCTTAAGCCCCAACTCCGTCGCGTTTCCCACCGTCCAGTCCCTGTAGAACACTCCCTGAACCCTGCCCTTTATCACAACCCTAACCTGCGAAATCCGAAACCGGTATCAGAAATTCCCGAATCAAACCCCAAATTTGAGAAACACTGAAAGAGGGAGAGAGTAACTACTGTCTTGGGATCGGAGGAAGCGGAAGAAGTCATGGAGGCGATGGTGACGAGCAGAGGAGGTCGAAAACGAGGTGAACGAGGTTGGAACAGAGTGCGAAGAGGAGGATGAGATAGAGGGCGACGAGGGTGAAGCGAAATAGGAATAGGAAGAGGATAAGAGCCAAGGCGAGCGATAATGGAGAGTCTAGTAGTACGATTACTGCCATGCTTCCCCGTGATGGTGGTGGACAGCCATGGTTCCGGGTCCTTGGAGATCGAGCGAGATATTGTTGTTACGAATCTGGCACTGATGCTGACTCGCAGAGGGGTTGGCGATGATATTCCCATTTCGCGCGCTGTGAGGGCGTGATGCAGATTTTCTGGACTTGTGTTAGTTGTGTGTAGAACTTGATGGGGAAAGTTAATCTGCTAACTTGAAAATTCGTTAGCAGATACTAACGTATATCCAAAATACATGAACTAGTATCCAAGTACTAAAGTATCTAGAGAGCACAGACTAGTATTCAAAGTTTGCTAACTGATATCCACCATGAATCAACTATTATCCCAAATTCACAAACTAATATCTAGACAACACAGAATAGTATCCATATAACACATAATTAGTATCCCGATAACACTTAAGAGTATCCAGATAACATATAAGAGTATCCATATTGAATACTAGTTGGTTGATTGTGGATATTAGTTGGTATCTGCTATCTGGATACTAGTTTGTGATGTTTTGAATACTAGTATGTGTTATCTAGATACTCAGCAGACTTGGATATTAGTTCATATATTTTGGATATTAATTAGTATATACTAACGAATTTTCAAGTTAGCAGAATAACTAGGCTGGAACTTGATACCTGTTCACTTCCGATTTTATTTTCTGTTTATTTTTTAAATGAAAATCAAGAAAAATTTTAGTTTTAACAATAAAGGATTAATTGCATGGTTGGTCACTGAAATTACTAAAAAAAATTAAGTTTGGTCACTCGAAATATTTAAATCCATTGGTAGTATTTTAGTTTACTGAAATCGTTCACATTAGGTCACTCTCCGTCCAACTCCGTTAACTTTTGCTTACGTGGACCGTTAAATGTCTGATGTGGCAATTCAAAATTAATAAAAAAAATTAAAATTTTCATCTAATTTCCACCTCATTATCACTTTTACTTAAAATAAATAAAAAAACGAACTTGTTCTAATCCCAAATACCAATCTCAAATTGCCATCTCATGTCTAATTGGTGGGGAAATTGATGGGTTTTCCGCATACAAAGGATTTAGTGGGGCTAAGATCAGGTGATTAGGGAGGTCCCTTAGTCACATGACTAAGTAAATCTCAGCCCTTCCATCTCATTAAAATCTAATGGCTACAATTAATCTACTTTAATGAAGGGCAAAACTGTAAGTTCATGATTATTTTTATTTTCAATTATTAAATAATTATTTTCCGGCTTTTCTCTCCCTGCCGTCCGCCTCATTTTTTCTTTTTCCCCGCCGGGCAGGAATTCTTTCCACCAGGAGAGAGAGAGAGAGAGAGTTTTCCGGCGACCGAAGGAAATTTCCCGGCGACAGTGTTGGAATTTATGATGTTTGCTGACCTATTTTGTAATGTTTGTATAGATTCGGTTTGTATTGTTTGTAATTTTTAGTGACATTTTGTACGGTTAGTATGCTTTGTACTGTTTGTCGGTTTATTTTGTAATGTTTGTACGCTTTGTTATTTTGTAATGTTTGTGGGGTTTTTTTTGTAATGTTTGTAAACTTTGTTATTTTTGTGCACCATGTTTATCATTTTTGTCAACCATGTTTGTAATGTTTTTTATGTCTAAAAACAACCTGGTTGACTTTTGGATGGAACTCCTCTATATAGGGATGAAGCCTCCAAAGTCAACTCGGGTGTTTTTTCTAGCTCGTATGGATTGTCGGTCTAGTTTGTCATTTTTGTCCACCATGTTCGTACTGTTTGTATGTCTAAAAAACACCCGGGTTGACTTTGGGAAGGAGCCCCTCTATATAGGGATGAAGCCTCCAAAGTCAACCCGGGAGTTTTTTCCCGTTCGTATGGATTGTCGGTTTAGTTTGTCATTTTTGTCCACCATGTTCGTACTGTTTGTATGTCTAAAAAACACCCGGGTTGACTTTGGGAAGGAGCCCCTCTATATAGGGATGGAGCCTCCAAAGTCAACCCGGTTGTTTTTTCTTTTTGTATGGTTTGTATTGTTTGTCGGTCTAGTTTGTATTGTTTGTACAATTCATACGTTTGTAATGTTTGTAAATCTGTTTGTATGTTTTGTCGCTCTAGTTTATACTGTTCGTATGTTTGTATGGTTTGTACTGATTGTAAAACACGGCGAATTATAGAAGAGTGCACCCTATCTTGAGCCTTCCTCTGGCTCCGGAATCAATCACCCGATATAAAGCCAAAATTTGATTTCCTTTTTCTTCCCTCCACTTTTCTCTTCGGTTTTCGTTTTCAACGACCTTGGTGTCGATTCTTTCATAACTTGTGTACTAGCAGATTTCCCCACTCTTCTTTCCAAATAGAAACGCACTCGAGCCAGCCAGGTATGGGCTTCTTGTTTCGGTGAGGACGTAAGGTGAATGAAGTATTGAGATTCCTAACGACGAGCGTTTTCTCCAATGGCGGAACCCTACAACTTCAACGGAGAATCGGTAGACCCGGTTGTAGAAGTAGAACTCTCAGGAGATGAATCCGACTCCGACTCCGGGTCCGACTACGAAGATGACGGACCTCCGACTCCGGCCGAAGAGGAGGAGGAGGGGGACGAGTACATTCCAATTGCCCCGTCGCCTAGGGTTCCAGTCAATCATGTTCCTTCGCGTTCCAGCCGAGTGCTGAGTGTTAATGTTGAAGGGGAGAGAACTAAAAGAAGAAGGGGGGAGGAAGGAAGGGCTGCTGCGGCAGTAGCAGCTGAGGTATGCTCGCCGAGTTCTCAAGGTAGCCAGTGGAATCGTGTTGAAATTGACGGCCTTTTTTGCTCGATTTGCATGGAAGCCTGGACCAGTGAAGGAGATCACCACATTTGGTTCGTATATCTGCTTCTATGCTGTTTTTCTGTTTTTGCCCCCCCTCTGTTGATTCAGCAGAATCTTGATTTACTGGAAACTTATTTCGGCAGTTGTCTTCCTTGTGGCCACCTCTTTGGTTTGTCTTGCATTAACAAGTGGTTGCGCCAAAAACGAAGTTCTGGAAAGGTATTGGTGCTTGTTCATGGGTAACTTAGAGACCTTTCATTGGTTAATGCTTTCCTTTTTCTGCAATTCTAGTGCCCCCAATGCAACAGGAAATGTACATTGAAAGAAGTGAGGAAACTGTTTGCACCCAGGATTGCTGTGGTTGATGAGGAATCGCGGAAGGTAAAGCCAATCTCATGGACCTTTTCGCCATGAAATAACATACAATTTTCTTTCTCATGTATATGGCTTGAAATTCTTCTTTGTGTTGCAGAGAATTCACTTTCTAGAGACCAAGTGTGCATCTCTTGAGAAGAAGGTGACCTCTGGCTACCCGTTTTCTGGAAGAAAGATGAAAGAGTTTTTGGTCTTTTTCTTTGGAGGAAATTTTTTCCGTATTTGCTTCATTAGCTTGTTTAGTTTGGTCTTTGTTGTGAGGGTTACATCAATGAGGGGAAGAGCGGGAATCGATTCCTATGTATCTCCTATTATCTCGACTCTGGTCATTGTTGACGATTTCTACCTGCAGGATGCTGAGTGGTCCAAGATTGAAGCTCTGTGGCACAAGAAGGAATCTGAATTACAACAGAAAATTAAACAACTTGTTGAGGTATGTATGTTGTCTTCACTTTCTGATCAGAAGTGCAATTGATTAGATTAAGTTTTGGCTTACTGAAAACCACCACTTCTGAAATTGATCTTTGATTAACTTTTCTATAGCATGTTCCTATGACTACGTAATCTTTTAGTTATATTTTTCCTGAATTTACTAATGCTTTGGGTTAAAGAGTGTTTATAGTGGAAATCTTATGTAGGGTTTCCTCTGTTTCTTTATCTATCTCTCTACTCGTTCTTTTCTGGTTATAGTTGAATTCTTTGCTATGTAGAGAACAGTTCAGATGCAGCGTTCATTGGATAATTTCAACAACACCGTGGCAGGATTATATACTGCTCGTAGGGGCCATCATGTACCATTTATACCTGGTAATATTCTTTTAAGATGCTGTGTTCTCTTGTTTCTCTCTCTCTCTCTCTCTCTCTGATTATATTGTGCGGTTACCATTTTTTGCTCCGTTCAAATGTGAGGAAACATCCTTAAGTACCTCAATCGTGAACTGTTCATCCTCCATCACAAGCGTGACATTTGCTTTTCTGGGACCTTGTAGATAATACTGCTACTTCAAACTTCAGCATGCAGGGCTCTTCTGGCAGCTTTGAGTTACAGGTGGGCAAGTGTTTCCTTTTGTTCTGTCTAAACTTTGCTTCTTCACTTTAGTGCTAAACTTTGAGGGGTTGTGTGAACTTGATCCGTCACTTTTTCTCTACGAATTAGATAGCCTTGCATGTTGGTAATATACTTTTAACCTTGCAGTGCAAGTTCACTGATGGTTCTTGTTCCTCGGCCATTAGCAAATTTCCTCCTTTTGTCTTAAATTTTATTACTATGATGTGTCAGGTTTGCTGAAATTGGTTTATTTGGAGATCTAGAAGTAGAGAAATGTTGGGAACATTTTGTTTGCATACAATTCTAACTTTCAAGTTTCAACTACCTAATTTTTTGGCATGTAACTTTTGTGAGAACAATAACACCTACGGATATGCTTATGGTGTCCTTTACCTACCATAGGAAGAGCTGTATGTGGAAGGCGCACGCTTATTTGACATTAATATTTCCAGTCAAACGGTATTAGTTGCGAGAAGAGCACCTAAGGTTGGTGGATGCCATTTTACCAAGGTAAAATTCTAAATGTAATCATTATATTTAATTTTATTTGCATCGTTTACATTTCTCCTAGTGCACCACATTTTCTTGGATTTGCATCTGCAGATCAGCTTGATGCCTCCACATGGAACCAGTGAAATTTTTCATCCACTTAGTACAAACATCATCAAAGACTTGCATTTTTGCCCACGTAATACAAGTCTTGTGCTGTTTGCTTCCTTGGGGAAAAAGCTATCCATTCTGAGGTGGTTCTACTCTTGTTTATTTCCAACACATTTTCTTAAATTGTTGTCCTGGTTCTGTAGGCCTCATTGACTTGTTTTCTTTATTACAGTTTGGAAAGCAACAACATCAGTCTTTCATATGACTTGCCGGTGCGTGGACCTTCCCTCTTGAATTTCTTGTGCTTCCCTCTTTAATTTCTTGCGCCTCCTTATTAATAAGCTATCACATGATCCCACCAAAATAAAAGCTAT